TATCTATCCATGTCTCTCTCCATCCATTAATCCACATTTTAAAAATGCACTGAAAAGTAAACTGCAAGTTTTAGTATGTTTCACGTCAGCCCTGAGTACTTCAGAATTCCTAGCATTAACTAGATTGCGGTATTTGTTTCATGGTTCTTTTTCATTGCTTCAGGGAAAATTTATATACAGTGACATACACAAGTCTTAAGAGTACCAATCAATGAGTTTTGACAAATGTGTTGCAAACCAATCTCAAAATTTAGAGCAATCTAATCATCTCAGAAAGATTCCCCATGTTTGTTCTGAGTCAATCCATGCCCCTACCCCACTTCTGATTTTTTTCCAACCGTAGATAAGTTTAACGTGTCCTGGAATCATACAGAATACAGTTTAGTGTCTGATTTCTTTCACTCAGCATAAAGTTTTCGAGATGCATCCATGTTTTGTGTATATGTATAGTTCATTTCTTTGTATTGTTGAGTAATATGCTGTCTTTGAATATATCACCATTTGTTTATTCTCCTGTTGACTGACATACTGGCTGTTTTCCCAGTGTGGGGTTGTTATGAGAAAGCTGCTCTGAACATTCTTGTACAAGTCTTGTAGAGTACACTTTCATTTATGTTGAGAAAATACCTGGGAATGGTTTGCTGGGTCATAGGGTGGTTTGATGTTTAATTGTATAAGAAACTATCAGACCCTAATGTGGTTGTATCTTTTATCTTCCCACAAACGGACCTGAGTTTCAACAGCTCCCTGTGATCGCCGCACTTTGTATTGTCAATCTATTAAACTTTAGGCATTTTGTTCAGCATATAATAAAATCTCATTTGGGTTATAATTTGCATTTCCCTGATGACTAATGATTCAGAACACTTTTTATGTGTTTACCCACCATTCATACATCTGTTTCAGCCTAATTTTTTTCAATCAAATTGTTATTTAAACTAAATCATTTATTTCTTATAGTAACTCTTATTTTTCCAATATAGAGATAAATATTGATTGGCACCATTTATACATTTTTTTCCAAAACAACAAAATTACTGACTAGCTGAGTTTAATACATCTAAGTCATTTATCTCTTACATTAATTTTCATTTTTCTAAAACAACAGTCATTTTCATACACTCAGAACCCCTGGAGCAAGTCTTAAATTTGAACAGAAGGTAGAAAAACAAATTAAAATTTGAAAATTACAATTCTATGTTAGCTGAGAAAATATTAAAAAATTATTGTCACATTTAAATCAGGAGATATACTAAAATATCTTAGGAAGCTTGGCCACTTTGTAATTGTATTATTTGTCTATTTATTACTTCAGTTGTAGGAAGTCATTTTAGTCTAGATGTCCGTCCTTGTCAGATGCATGTTATGAAGATACTTTTCTCCAGTCTGTGGCTTGCTGTTCACTTTCTTCAGTGTCTTTTTATGAATAGAAGCTTTTGATTTTAACCAGATGTAATCTATCAATTTTTTTCTTTTATGGTTATTGCTGTCTGTGTCCTCTGGCTGCTCCTGAATCATGAATATGTTCTCTTGTATCTCTTCTGGAAGCTTTACAGTTTGCATCTACATTTAATTCTATGATACATCTTGAACTAATTTTTGTGTGTGGTATGGGGTAAGGGGTAAGGTTTCCTTTTTTCCAGGTGAACATCTAGTTGTTCCAGTATCATGTGCTGAAAAGATTTCTCTTTCCGTGTTGAATTACATTGGCATGTTTGTTGAAAATCAATTGACCATTTACGTGTGAGTCCTATGAAAACTTGGTGCTTCATTGTGATTGTGGAACAACAAAAAGATATGACGAGAATAGCAATTGTCTGTAATGATTGTGTAAACACACACTTTCAATGGACTATAGGTATAGTTTTGTAATTTTTTAAGAATGTAATTTTTTTCTTCTTCCATTTGTTGAAATGTAATTTTTATGTTAATCAAATCTAATAATAAAAACCTGGATTTGTTGTATTTTGTTTTTATTTCATTTTTCCAGTAATTAATTTTTATTGTCTTTGAAAATGTAATATATAGGTCTGTGAAAGGTGGAAAACAAGCAAACAAACCCCTGATCTTTCATCACAGATAGTTTGGGAAATTCTCAAATTCTCATAACACAAATTCTGTAGGATGTTAATGGACATTCTGCACAATGGGGTTCCATGAAAAGTTCCACCTCAGCTGCCAGGCATAACTCCGTTGTTCATTTCCAATTCCCTCTTTCCAGCTTGGAAGCTACTAACCAGTCTCCCAGGCCAGAAAAATGCTCCCTCAGCTAGTATTACTCCTAGATCTTTCCAGACTTGCTCCTGGATGGCTGCTTTGGAGCTTAAAAGCCAAACATGTTCATTTATTCTGTAGTTCCTCCACCTTGGGGTAATGCTGGGTGGGTGTCTCTCTTCCCAAATGGAGAAGAGTCACATGTTAAGGCAAAACTGGGAGGAGAATTCATACAGTTCCTGCTTCACATATCATCTTGTCACTACTGCCTTGCTCTCACCCCATTGCTTGTCCCTGTTCACGTCTGAAGCTGCCCTCCCCTGGGCAGGGCTGTGTCACCTCAGATGGCAGCTCCTCCTAGCGATGGCTGCAGGGAGGACAGAACAGACACCTGTCTCTTCAGGTGGCTGTGGAAGGAGGCCACGGCCCTGAAGGCATGTCCTGGGTTCCCAGAGCTTGGGTCCTGGGCTCCCACCTATGGGCTCTGCTGAAATGCTGGGCTGTAGAGCAAAGGGTTCACATCCACAGCTTTGGGATTTTTTCTCCGGGGTTCCCACTCATATCCATGCAACCTTAGGGAAGACACTTGATTCTGTAAGCCTTAGTTTTGTCATCTGTAAAATGGAATTTACAGTACTTGGATCAGATATGCTCCAGAATTCAGAATTTTCAGCTGCAATCACATAGCATGGGGCATATAGTCTACATGACATAACACTCCACAGGGCTCTGAAAGCACCTTACTATCAAACGTATTATTATCTCGGCAACTGCACTTTTGAACATTCACACTCAATGAAATAAAGACCATAAATTGTTTCATGTCCCTTCAAGTCAAATTTTGTTACAAAAAATTCTTTTTTGATTCCTGTTCAGTGTTCAGAGTCTTGAATGTTTGGGATTTCAGATAATGACCATGCCACCCTGTGCCTCCATAGATAATAGCACACAGCACGAATAGATTTTAAAAAGTCATGTTTTTGAGGCCAGACTAAACCCAGCTGTGAGGTTGGGGATAAGACCAGTCTCCTGACAAGGCCAAGGGTGACGGGTGGGGAGAGCCATCTTGAGAGGCTGTGCTGCTACCCAAGTGTCTGGGACATTGGTTCAAACTCCACATCCTGAGCCTCAGCCACCCCTGGCCCTTGAGCCGATTCCAGGTGCCTGACTTCATCTACCTCCAGATCTGGATCTTTCTCTGACGGGTCCTCAGTGAAGACCATGCCAAGCTGGTGGCAGTGACCAACACGACCAGCAGGACCTCCACATGATCGTCGTCAGGCCGGGTCTCCCCATCCATTATGGGCTGCTTCCTCCGACGGCTGCAGCTGCTCTCCACCTGCATGGCCTTCTCACTGGGGGCCAGCGTGGGCACTTGGAGGGGGGCCATAGGTAACTGGTCCATGTTCATCTGGTGCTTCTGCTTCGCTGTGACACTCGTCATCCTCGTGGTCGAGTTATGTGAGTTGCAGGACCACTTCCCCTTCTGGGACAACTTTCTCATCACCTACAACTGCTACTCCGCCCTCCTCTGCTTTTCAGCCTCCATTGTCTACCCCACCTCCTACCTCCAGTTCTTGCCAGACAGCAGCTACCGGGGCCACGCCATCGCTGCCACTGCATTCTCCTGTATTGCTTCTGTGGCTTATGCCATGGAGGTGGCTGGGACGAGGACCCAGGCCGGCAGGACCACAGGCCATATGGCCACCGTACCAGGCCTGCTCAAGGCACTGCAGACTGTCGTGGCCTGTGTCATCTTCCTCTTCATCAGCAGCCCCTACGTCTATCAGCAGCAGCCGGCCCTGGTGTGGTGCGTGGCCGTGTACTCTGTCTGCTTCCTCCTGTCCTCCGTGGTCATCTTGCTAAACCTGGGTAAATGCGACAATAGGCTGCCCATCCCCTTCCCCCGTTTCCTGTTGGGGCAGACCCTGCTCTCCGTCCTCCTCTACACCAGCGCTGTGGTCCTCTGGCCTCTCTATCAGTTCCACGAGAAGTTGGGCGGCCAGCCCCAGCGGCCCAGAAACGTGAGCTGCAGCGATAGACTCACCTACTTGGTGTGCATCTGGGACCAACGACTGGCTGTGACCATCTTGACAGCCATCAACCTGCTGATTTACGTGACTGACCTGGTGATCTCTGCTCGCTTGGATTTTGTCAGGGTCTGAGGCTCTGCCTAGGGGCTCCTGATTCCTATTCTCACTGGAGGTTTCTTTACCGAGTTCTGATGTCCCCAGTGCCCCCTTCCTGGCTCCCCTGTCTCCCCTCTCACGTCCTCCCCATTCATCTCGCTCTTCTGTTTCCTTCTCTCCTTCTGCTCTGTCTCCTTTCCTGTTTTCTTTGGTTGCCCGCATCTTTTCTGACTCTTTCTCTTTCTGTTCTCTTCTGTCCTGCATTTTCTGCTTTTTGGCCCTTTTATGGTCATCCTTTGTTTTCTCATCTCCTGTATCCTGACCATCTTTTCCCATTTTCCTTCTTATGATCGCTTAAAGCCCTGAGACTTCTTCATTCTCTGCCCCACCACCCCCTCCCCCCTCCTAGGGTGCTGAGCTCCATATCACGGAGTCCTTTAGCAGCTGTTCATACCTTGGACCTCCAGAGGGGCCTCACTGCCAAAGCATGCCTGTCCCCCAGGCTGTGCCTTAGTTGGTGTATGTGTGTGGGTTTAGGGGGTGGGAGGTAGCTAGGGTTTGGGACCCCTTTCTCCCAGTAAAGGGGGGTGTACAGTGCACCTCCTATTTAAGAGGGAAAAATCTCTGGAGGTCAATAATTTCCAGTGGGCAGGAGGCTGAAAGCAGAGACCCTGGATCCTGAGGCCCCACCTGGTGCTCAGCCCCACTGACATTGGCTCCAGAAGTTTTGCAGGCTCACTAAAGCCCACTGCCTAGACACTACCTTAGAGGAAGCACGGGGTGGATGCCTTCCAGCCCAACTACTCTCTGGGGAATCAAAAAATGGAGCTGGTGAAGAACAGCATATTCTTGAAGACAACTGTCTGAAGTGTTTGTGGGGGCGGTGATGTGGCCCTCCTGCCTCAGTGTCCAAAATAACATGTCCTGCCTTTGCAGGGACAAGAACATGGCCACTGTCAGCCTTAAAGGTAATATTACCCTGTTTTTTTCTTTTCTTCTTTTTTTTCTGGTCAGCAGGGCAAAAATTACTGGATGGCCTTCTTCTTAAAGGGGAAGTTTCTTTTCACTTTTTTGTGGGGAAGGTGGGTTGAGTAGGTGGGCATTTCTGCTGCCACAGCCAAAGGAACTGCGGTGCTTGAGTGCGTGCTGCACGCACGTGTGTTTCTGCGTGTCAGTTGCTTTCTGCTGCTGCTTCCTGTTTCTCTGAGACTCACGCAGAACACGATCTATTTAAATGTACACATATGTGTGTATGTATTTGTTTTTAATTCCCTGGAGCTTCTGATTCCTGTCAGCTCCTGCTGTCAGTCATACAGAGAATTATTGTCCTTTCCTCCACATCCATAATGTTCTTTTTTTAAACCTCAATATAAAGATAAAAGAAAAAGAAAACAAAATAGAAATGAAGCCAACAAAATCCACGGATCCTAATTGTCCCAAATTTGACCAGAGCTCAGAAGCAGGCTATTCTTAAAGGATCATTGCTAGCATCTGGATGCTTCTCTTTGAAGGTGTGTGCTGTGTGCATACTGAGTGTGTGTGTTTGTGTGTGTATGTGTGTGTTGTGTGCCCATGGGCAGGCATGCCTTAAGATCAGGAGCCCTTTATATAACCATTGGCCGGGAAAGTACCACAAGCTTTCTTCCTCGCCTGCTCTCAGCCACACAGCCTCAGAGCCTGGCATCCTCTGTGTCACCAGGGCCAGGGTGGCCAGGCAAGCAGAGATGTGGGGGAGGGGCAGGGAAGGACCCCCCCCCCCACACTGCTGTCACTCATTCCTGTCCTGGGATGAAGCATGTGTTCTTCACCCAGTGGCTGGTTGAGTGGGCGTAGAGGGCTCCCAGGAGTTGATCCCCATGGCAAGAAAATACTAAGGAGTAATGTAATAAAATTCATATTCTTAGGCAAAACAAGACAAATTTATTTGACCAAATACATTCTAACACTGGGTAAAAAGTTAAACAGATTTCCTTAAGGCAGGACTTCCTAGGGCCTTGCATAGTGTAGTAGACACTATAAAATTACCAAAAGAGGTATATAGCAGGAAGTGTTTCCCCAAACTTATATGATCAGGGAACATTTTTTTTTCATGACGCATCATAGACTAGTGTTCCATGGAATACCCTTTGGGAACCACCAGTCACTTTATTCTCCCCTCGAGTGGTTCAAAAGCATTGACTTGAAACTCTGACAAAATCACTTCTCACGGTGATCCATCTCCTCTGAGGGCAGCTGTACTTCCTTAGGTGAAGCAAAGCACATCTGCCCTACTCTCTGCTGTTGGACAGAGAGTCCCAACCCCTACTCGCCTGGAGGGAGCTCTGAAAAGTTCTCAGGTGTCCTTGGTCTCCTGTCCTCACATCCCTCAGACTGAACGTCTCTGCATCAAGCCTGCTGCTCTCTCGGAGCAGTAACGGGGCTTTGCTGTGGAACCTGCAGCGCCCAGCACACAGTAAACACGTGGTAGTATTTGAGCAGAACAGAAAAGAATAGCGCCTCCCCCAGTTCTCTCATGTGCACCTCGACTTTTCCCCAATCTCCAGACCTTCCACCATCCTGGCTGCCTGCGTTGATGAGCTGTGGACCACCCATGCTGGCGCCCACATCTTCTGTGACAGTCAGTCTCCAGTGCTCCTGGTTCCTTGGACACTTAAGTCTCCAAATCCTAAAACCCTCTTATACATCACCTCATGACAGCCAACTTGTTCCCACCTCAAGGCCTTTGCACAAGCTGTTTCCTCTGCCTAGAACGTGGAAACTTCTTTCTCGTCCTTCAGTTCTCAGCTTAAATTCACCTGCGTGGAAAGATCTTCCAAAAGGACATCTGCCCATCATGTTCCTTCCAGGACCATGTTGTGTTTTTTTCACTGTGTCTATCACTACTTGAAGTTACCTTGTTAAAGTATTTGACAAGTTTATGGCTTTATTATCTGATGCCCCTGCTGGAGCAGAGCTCCACGGGGACAGGTGTCTAGTCTCTGCTGTCAGCACTGGGTCTCTGGGCCAAGTCAGTCCCTGGCAGGACATGAACACAATACGTTTTGGACAAATGAAGACCTAAAATTAGGAACCATTGGCGGGAGGGTATGTTCTTATCACATAGACACAAAATATTAATTATAATAAAGGGGGTGGAAGCACACTTTGGAGGTGATGAATATGTTTATGGCCTTGATAGTGGTGATGGCTTTGTGGGTGCATTATTTATCCTCAAACTCATCCTGTTGTAAACCATAAATATTATCAATTTTACCTTAATAAAATATTTTTTAATAAAATTAAAAGGTAGTTAAGAAGACCACAAGGTAACATGGAAAAGTGAATATAATGTTTAAAAAGACAAGATCTTACAAGATATTACAATTATAATCATGTAAAAATGTTTTTGTGTCCATAAATTAGAAACACATGTGTAAAAAAATCAATCATGGGGTCTTGTCATCCAAGACAATACAGACCCTCCTTCCACGTCTCATTGTAAGCGCTCCTGGCACTCCTCAGTCAGACTCCCGGGGCAGAGCCAGGCTTTGAGTCACTGACCTACTAACAGAGGCTGAATTACCAAGAGCCACCTCTAGCCGCCTCCAGCCGCCTGGCCAGCTCCGTGCAGTTGGGCCTGTGACACATCCTTGTCCCTTTCACGGTGTGCTCCTTCACCGGGATGGGCTTGCCTGGCAGAGAATTCTCATTTCTTGAAAAACTTCAAGCCATCTTGGAAAACTTCAAGCCATCTTGAAACACACAAGCCAAGCATCCAAGTGCAGGTAGAAGGATGAACACACATATTCCAGAGGCTCTTCAAGGAGACGACAGAGGCAGGAGCCCAGTCTGCCTCCCTGACGCTCTGGCTGGTGCACCCCTTTCTTGGACCCCCCTTAAAGGGTGGGAGTGGGGCGCTGGGAGCACCTGGGACAGGGTCTGAGATGGTTAAGGGAACCAGAGGGAGAGGTGGGGTTCCAGCTGCCCCTGGGGTATCAACTCTCTAACACTTGTGGGCCCACGGCATCATCATTCTTGTTGAATGTTTGCTTCCTATATATTTCATAAATTTACCCCACCCTCCACTCCTGAAGTGTCTTTGCTCAAGACCCATCATCACACAATCGGACTGTGGATTTAGCCTCCAAACTCGCCACTCACCTTCTTGGCCAGCTTCCATTCCATTTTCCTCCTAACAGCCGGAGTGACAGTTCCCAGTGGGCACCTGATTGATGGACTCATCCTTAGTGAATGTAAGTGAGGCATCATCACTTACAGCCAAAATCAAACTTCTTTTCCTGGTATTCAGGCCCATCAAAATTGTGCCCTATCTTCTGTTCCTGCAACATCTCCCTTCCTCCCCACCTCAATTGTTCCGCTCAGGTAAGACCCAGCAGCTTGTGGTGTCCTGCCACAACATTCTGCTGGACAGAAGGGCAAAGACTGGGATGTGTCAATCAGAGCAATGGGATATGGAGCTGGTGGGATCCAGGAAGGCTTCCTTGAGGAGGTGATTTGAAGGTCAAGGACAAGATAGGGTTAAAAAGGCAAAGAAGAAAAGATGACATTTTAGGATTAAATGATTTCCTCAAAGATCTCATGAATCTTCAGTGGCAGGGTTATGGGAAGGGGGAGGGAGAAGGGAGAATTGAGCATGGCCAACTGGAGACTGATCTTTATGCTCACTTGGGTGAGGAATAAGGCTTTGGGATGGCACAAGGTAAGGGATTGGAGCTGAGACACTTCCAGCACCACGTGGCCTGCAGCCTCTGAGCAAAGGTAGACAAGAAAAACCCATGCTCTTCAGCAAGAGGGAAGGACAAGGTGATATCTCCCTCTGCATGAGTTTCGGATTGTATTTTTAAGTCTCCACAGGAGAAATCAAAATCTCAGGTCTTCTCTTCTTGTGGCTTTGGGCCCAAATGCACATGATCTCTGAGGTCCAACAACTCCAACCTGGGAAATTAACACAATTGGTGCCCAACAGGCAACTGGCCTTGAGTGTCCTGAGCAGGGAGAGGTGCAGCTGTCCTGGGTTACGGCCCCCAATCCAGGCA